GTATTCGTAATCAAATACAAATAAAGGCTGATAACTATGTGCAAATTAGTAGAACGTTACTTACATGGTTAGATGTACAATGATGACCTCACAAACGTTACTACGAAACTGTGAGCAGTCTGAATGAAAATGAATGATGCACCTACTTCGCAGTTCCATCTCCTTTCTATTTTTAATTCGTATTCTGTAGATCACTGTTTTCTTGACACTTTTAAAACACTCCAACACATCTAATCACACACAAATACCGTACTACTCCACAGTGAACCCGCGAATAACACCAATAGAGCAACTCTCGATCGTTTACGAGTTCAGAACTATCGATATTACTGAGGATTCTATGTATCGCACGAAAGCGATTTGGATACGTTTCTATTGGTGCAAAGGTGTAACAGGTCACATCCGCCGATGCAGTTGTCCAATGTGGCGTAATCATTTAACTGTATATTTCCCTGGTCATAACAGAAGTTCTGACACATCTCGTAACACGCGCATTGAAGTATTAACTTCATTCTATTGTTATATATGTGTACGCATAATTAATGGATATTTCGTGTGATTTTATGTTTCATTCTTTTGCTATGACTGTTAAATAAATTTCTTTCTAACAAAATTAATCTTTAATTCGCACCCAACTGAGGTATGTGAGAGGCCATGCCATAGCTTAGGCAGTTAGTCGCCGGCTTCCCACGTGTAACGGCCCAGGTTCGAGCCCAGGCCAGGTCATGGATTTGTGGTGGACAAAGTCGCACTGGGGCAGGTTTTCTCCAAGTACTTCGGTTTCTTTTGGCAATTCTCATTCTATCGACTCACGCTCATCGTCTATCGTCCGGGCCTGGTAGTGGCCGAAGTGGACTCAGTCTCACCCCCCCNAAATTAAAGGTCAAGATGTCCCTGCAACAGGCCGTGAAGGCCCATAGGGTTGTGAGACGTCGAGGCTCCCACATTTTCTAGACAATCGGCTCACAGATGGCGGTAAGGTTGTCAGCCTTACAAGCCGGCCGCCTTTTATGCCCCCAAGAAAATTCCTGGTGCTAATTTCTGTTAGAGGCTGAGTCGATCCCAGGGCCACAGTGCGGCTGGAAGGATTAGGTAAATTAAAAAATCCACCTCATCGGGACTCGAACCCGCGACCTTGACTTGTAGCATAGTGCCTCAACCAACTACGCTACCACGTGCCCCTCAACCCACCCCAAGAAACTAAAAAGGGGGGATGTGAAGCCGGGATAGCGCAGTCGTTACAGCGACTGGCTACGAGCTGGACGGCTGAGCGGTCGGAGTTCGAGTCCCGGTAGGGTCAAGAATTTTCTCTTCACTACTTCTTCCAGACCGGGGCCCACTCATCCTATTATTAAATGGGTAAAGGCAAAAAGGTAAAGTTGTCCCTGTGGTTAACTAATTAAGCACTACGCCATGTAGGTGTATGGGGGGAGTGGATGTAAATCTTGCCATCCTTAAAGGAGAACTGTGAAGACTTCACCATCCTAGCCCATGGGCAGCGAATTTGCAAATTAATTATGTTCTTCTGGGCAATTTTGTCTGCAACTGAAATCATTACAAGCTAACCTGACTGTTCTCTGTTATTGTTATCTTAAGTTTTGAAACCTACGTTCACCACTGACCACTATGATAGAAAACCATAATAAGATTCTTAGTGCACTGGGTGTTTGATCTTACACTATATTTCTAATTCATTTCTTCTGACCCAGGAAATCTGCTGCAATGTACTCATACAATACCCCTGGTTAGGGTGGCCCTATAAATAGATTTATGTCTTTTTAAACAGGGACCTGGGATATCTCAGTCGATACAGTGATGGGCTGCAAGGCCGGGGTTCAATTCCTGGGAGGGGCAAAAGATTTTGCTCTATTCCACAGCCTTCAGACCAGCTCTGGGGCCCACCCAGCCTCCTAGCCTATGGGTACCTGGAGCTCTTTTCCTGGGGATTGACCATTCATCTCCGTCTAATACTGAGGTCAAGAATGATGCAGCTATACTCATCCCTTCACTATCCCATGCGTCTTGTTGTGCTGCTTAATTACACACAGCGACAACTTTACTTTTACCTAACCTTGTTAAAAATCCTGTCTTTCAGTGTTCTCCGTTTCTGTATCTCTGATCTGTCTGGTTGGAGACTGTAACCAGTTTTACAGTGCAAAACTGATCTATGTTCACAGCTGTTTCGTTAAATTCTTAAAACGGACGTGCACATGGGCAGACATCAAATGTTTACGTCAAAGCTATTCTTTCAATGGAACTACCTTCCTGTAGCTCATGGCGTCATGAACGTCCTTCACAACGATACACATAGGAATGGATTTCAGAACCTGCTTTGTAACAGTTTTTTTTTATAATATATGATGTAGGATTGGAAAGTAAAACGTAAATTTGCCCCTCTGCTTATGTAATGAAGCACTACTCCATGAAGATGTATGGACAATGGTGGTATAACTCCACATCATTCTTGACCTTGGCACTAGATCCAGGTGAGTGGTCAGCTTGACGACCTGGCCACTTTACCCACATACTGGACAGTTGGCCCCAGAGCCTGTCTGGATGCTGTGGAGAAATCTCTTGCCCTGCCAGGAATTGAACCCTGACCATCCAGCCCACAGCTACACCTACTGACCTATCCTAGCTCCATTCATCCCTCCATTACATTAGTTTATTGATAACATCTTGGAAGAAGCGTGTTCCATTCGCCTGGAGTTTTTTGTTTTGATCTGACAGCCCACAAGATGTTCTTTCAAGGGCCCAAACAGAAGGTAGTCACTTGGGGCCACAGCAGGACTATAGAGTAGATGCCGGAGAACCTCCCCATGAAACTTCTGTGGGCAATTCACTGTTAACAATAGAAACTTCCCATGTTTGTCATTCCTCTCAGGCTTTTATGCTGAGCTTATGTTTCTAAGTTTCTGCCTAATTCTAAAACGCCATTTCTACCCATGACAAAAAGCAATTAGTATGTGGCTTAATTGCTGTATATAACAGAACACTGGTCTAGGCTGTGAAACATATGGCAACCTTTTCTGACATTCTAAGCTTTCAGCAAACTGATGTTTCTATGATTCAATAAATGTCAGCATTAAAACTGTATCATGCAGTTAGCATAGCAAGTGGAAGTGGGATACAGAAATATGTTTCAAGATCAGTTGTCATGAACTGAGACAGGTTTGCCCGAAGAACCACGGGATGCTATACTCCAACTAATATGAGTACGAGGGTGTATCATTATCATCATTAGAGTTACTACATTTTTAACACACTTCTGGTATGCATACACAGGCAGGAAATTCAGACATACTTACACATGGTATTTCTTCCATACGGCTACCTACAGACTGTACAACATACCCTGGATTTTAGACTAGATGGACTTCATGAATCAGAAATTGTAATTCCCCACGGAGAGGAATTACAGAAAAATTGCTGAAATTGGGAAAGGTTATGACAGTAAACATATGAAAGAAAAAATTGTCTTAAGGTATAACAGATTTTTAGTTTCATCTTTCATGTTTGCTTGTAATAAATGAAGAGACAGCTGGTACTAGGTTATAGCACAACTCATCAGCATAACAAAGATTCCACACGCAACAGACGAACGGTGTGTTTTGTGTGATCTACGCGGAGAGCGCTGTCAGTCAACAACAGAACTGTTTGAAGCAACATTTTCTGTGCCACCCATGCGAAGGCTAAATAATGAGGACCAGCTGCCATAACAATTTCATGTTTTTCAAGATTTGTAGACACAGAGATTTTCATTTCTTTAGAGACCATTCTCAAGAGGTTTTAGCTTTATACTGCATTCTAGTAAAAGGTAACTTTGTCCCTGTGCTTGACTAATGACATGCTATGACATGAAGGTGTATGTGGGAGTGGATGTATAGAACCACATTTTCTTGACCTCAGGACTACCTGGAGATGAGTGGCCAACTTCATGCCCTGGCCGCTTTACCCCTGAGGAAAGAGTCCCCAGTACCCACTGGATAGATTGGGTGGACCACAGAGGTGGTCTGGACAAAGTGGAGAAAAGCAAATTCTTGACCCTACTGGGACTCAAACCCATCAGTTGTCCAACCTGTAGCCAGTAACTATACTGACTATGGTATCCCCGCTCCTACTGTATCCTAGTGATAATATTAAATACATCATTAAACAAAAAGTGTAAATTTCTTAGTTGCATAATTATTAACAAGGTTTCTGTGCTGAAGTAGAAAAGAAATAAATTATTTTAAATGAAAAAGTTAATGTGCATTATTTTTTCTACAGCATGACAATCATAAGGGTAACTAGGTACAGAGAAGAGATAGATGGACTGTTATATTCACACATGATAAACTGACTGTATACATAGGCTCACTTATGCAGTCTTAGTGAAACTGTAAAGTTGAGGTCAAGTCCCAAGGCATGAAAAACCTTGAACAGTATTAAAAATAATTTAATGGCTCAGCTGCACTGATCAGCAGCAAAAGTATGTTTGTTACCAACAATCCTTTTACACATCTATGTAGTAATACTTTTATAAACAAACAAAAGACAAAACAAAACTCCGTGGGTTTAATCCACAAGCAAACTATACCAACTCAGTGACTGCCACTTGTTGATGAAGTCAGTGCCAACTTTAACAGATAGAGGATGTCATGCGGTCAACACAATGAATCCCCTCTGTGGTCTAGTGATCAGAGTTCCTGGCTAAAGATCCATAGGTTCCGTGTTCAATTCCCGGCGCTACCAGATTTTCTGAGTAGTGGTTCTGGAATGGGGTCCACTCAGCCTCGTGAGGATAATTGAGGAGCTATTTCAAGGAAATATCAGCTTCAGTCTAGAAAACCGAAATATTTTTATATGTATTATAAAAATATATTTGTGATATTTCTGAACTCAAGTTTAACATTATTTTATACATTCTTACAGCCATTGCATATTTCAGGTTTTCATGTTTGTGCAGTCTTCTTACAAATGATCCTGGACTGTGGCATAGTACTGTACTTGAGGTAAACAACAAATCTTATAAAAACCACCAACACAACTTCTGTCCCTTTTTGTTACGAGTCCACAATAAAAAGGACAAAATAAATTGTCATTCTTACAAATTATCTGTTAGGAAGGTTCACAGAGCTCTGGAATTTTACATTCAGGATTCAGAGTTTTGGAATGAATTATAAAAATCACATTCTAAGCATATTTAGTGACTATATGCCACAATAAATTCCTGTAAAAACTTTACTGACTTTGAAACTCAAGTCTGTTCTAACTGGTCATCACATCACACAGTACTTATTACTCCTATGTCTCAGTGAGACAATGCTCAAGATGCATATTCATTTCAGTGTCTTTAACTAACATGGCACAGCATGGGCACGGATATGCATTGCATCCAGGTTTCACACTGACAGACCTCTTGTGTCCCCAGTAATCATCATCGTCATCATCATCCACAGACGCACTTCCAAAGACACTTCCCAGACACATATCAAGATGAATATTGAGGTCACATTTCAGCATCTCAGAATTGCATGCTGGACATTTAATCATTTCGGAATCTGTTTCCAACTTCACTGAACAGTTATCAATTACCATGGGCTCATCATCATCGCAACAAGTTCCGAGACAAGAGTCTAAATGAGTATTTATATCAAGTTCTCTAATGTCCGAATTGCATACTGGGCATTTTACGTTGCTATCGTTTGAAGCTGAATGCTTCCCAGGATCTACAGAGAAGTCTGAAACTGACTGATTTTTCATTCTCTTTTTTACATCATACTGAATGGCAGAACCATATCGTTTGCTGGATGTAACTTCGTTAGGTGATGCCCTATTACTCGAAGACTGAACAGAATCTTCTGATATGACATGGTTCTTCATTGAATTTGATGCGATTGTTTCAAACTCTCTACTGTGTGACACTCGTCTGATCTCACTTCCCGCACCTAATGTATGCCCCTTTCCAGAGAAAGGTACAAAATTACTTATCAACTTATTTCCATCATATAAATTTCCATTAACTGTCTTTACATTTGAAGCTCCTTTATTGCGTCCTTTAGCAGTAACAATCAATGTACCTCCACCCCTATTGGCCAACGTTCCAACAAATCTGCCAGGTCTTGCAATGTCTTTATTTTCATGAGATAGGGTACGGGCTTTATCACCAATGCCTGACTTCTTATGGATGCTTCCAGACGAGACGCCGCCATTGCTAGAGTCATTCATTTTCTGTCTGTCATGAGATCCAGCAGCATTTACATTTTTATTGAACAAATTTCTGAAGCCTGTAACATTATCTGTGATACTTCTGCATACTGAAGCCTGAGATTTATCTGATAACTTAGAAAATGTTTTCTCTGTTCCACCTACACCATCTGTACTGCTATTTCCAAGCATATTTCCTTTTCCATGGAATGGAAAGAAGTTGCGAATGTCACTTTTGCCTCCAGATGATGCTGAAACACCTGAAAAAGTGCAAAATCACACAGATTACACATATAAGGAAATACTGGAATCAATTAAGTCAAATATGGTTCAAGTACGAACCCCAAGGAAAATCATAAGTGGAAAAATTTATGGAAAGGGACATGAACTGCATATAATGCACTTCTCAGCAATCAGCTGATCAATGTTAAAAACCAATACTGACAAGAACAGATTTTTGAAATGTTGCTTTCAACTCACACAGACCAATTGATACTGCGGAGCACCTGTTCCCATAAAAGTTTCAAATCTTACTGCAGGTAAATGTTACTGCGTTACCGTTTAATCTAACAGCATTTCAGACTGTCATGGGGTTTAGTGTGTATTTCTGATACTCAGAGATGAGGATGCTCTTTCCTTAACTCGGTAGAATATTTCAGGAATCTGTCACACAAAACATGTTTGGTCAGCTTATATATAAACTGCTTTATGTACATAAAACTTCAACTCATCTGAATGTATCTTGAAGCCTTAGATTGCATCTTCCTTTGAGAATTTTATCTCCTTCAGTTAGCACCTTTCATTGAACACTGTACTCAGACTCATTCAGTTCAATGAACACTGGTGTGAAAAATTAAGAAAATGTTATGCGTAATGAATGCCCCGTACTCATAACTACAACTCATTATAACAGAAAGCAGTCTTCTGGGATTTGGCACCGTGTATATGTGGTGTTAACCGACGTTTCGGAGGAACGTATCGCCCCCATCTTCAGGGCAGAAGAAAAAGTATAAGAAATCTGCAAGCGACAACNTTTATTGTTATTCAGTCATCAGTAGTCATTGCTAGGTAGCGGCTGCTAACAACGCAAATCAAACTGACTAGACTCAAAGTCAAAGTCACTTTACATCTAGCGATTTACCGCCAATCATTTCGTCTTGGCGTCACGCCCCTTGAGGTCCATGGCCAGAGATTTTTCCAACTGAACACTGGCAGTAAGTCTTTATGTAACGTCCTCTCTGATGAGAAGATGGGTGTGTCTCTTATGAGACTGACTCTCATTGCTGCCTAGCAATGACCACATCTTTTCGTTTCACTATTCTGGCTTTCACGCATCATGTCACGATATGATATGGCTTATGACTGACTCCATGTGGATGTGTATATTAGTGTGTTTGTTATGGAGGACTATGAATCACTGGTAATAGTTCAGAAAGCAAGAAATACCTACACTTCAGCTGATACTGCAGTCTCAACCTTTTCCAGAAAAAAATGTTACATGACAAGCATATCCAGCAGAATCATAATTTCCCAAATGTATAACTGCAAATGAATGGAAGGGTTATCTGTGGAAACCACAGCTAGAGATAGGAACTGTCATTTTTGTTTGCTGAATAGTCAATGGACATTTCACTGATTTGGATAAATACACTAAGAGTCATGCAGTTTCTAACTAATAAACTTCTGGCTGAAGTTACTTTTCTTGCTGATTTGCTTTGCTTTCTTCTCAGAAAAACCTGGAGGCTCGTGAACCTTGACATAACGCCCCCCGCATGTTGCTTGATGCTCCTCCCACCAGAAATCATTGGGGCCCGGTGCACGGTTCATGGCACGTTTCACCATGCCAAAGTAAGGCGGTCTCCTTTGGCATGGCCCATCACAACGCCACCAGTGCTGCTGGTAAAGTTTTACTTCATCATGAAAGCTGTGGAAAATCTGAAACAAGAGGCCAGGACACAATCTGGTACACTTGTAATGAGCACATACCGTTGGCAAGGTACACTTCACGGTTCCACAGAACTCGAAGGGAGACAGAGCCCCTGTGGGTGCCCCATGAAGAAAATGGATTTTACACTCTTGCCTAGGTCAGAAAGATCAATCAAGACCATAATTCCAGGAACTAAATGAGCAAAGCACAATATAATGTTAAATCTTCTTTTCATATTTCCTGACTACAGGTTTCTCTCCTACTCAGAGGACAGAATGTGTGATCTGAGACCTATTTACTGTCTTGTGACCAATTTCCCCCCTTCATTGTCTCAATTCATATCCAATATCTCACACACAAGGGCCGCACCATAGCTAAAGCAGTTAAGTCGCTGGTCTTCCCACCGCGGCGGCCCGGGTTCGAGCCCGGGCCTGGTCACGTGGGTTTTGTGGTGGACAAAGTGGCGCTGGGGCAGGTTTTCTCTGAGTATTTCGGTTTCCCCTGCCAATCTTCATTCCACCAAAAATTTTCCATCATCATATTCACCCAGGGCAGGTACAATAGGCCATTCACTGGCTGACATTCCAAGTGGACCCAACTGGACTCCTCCCCTGATCTCACACACAGTCTGAATGGGGTTTCAACTGTAAAAACAATGCATGAAGATAAGAACTTACAGTTATATTGGTACCTGCCTCCTTGTTGATTCTATGCATGTGCTTAGAAAATTCTGGTCCATGGCCTTCACGGTCACGATTATTGTGAGTCACGAACAGGTATGCATGTATCATCTCATGCTGGAAAAGGAAACACTATAAGCAACACAGCCTCAAGAAAACAGTGTTGCCAACATCTCAACACTACAGTCAGATGTTATGAACATTTTTCAAAGTGGAACCACTTGAGTTACAAAACTTATGGACTGAACTAAGCACCAAGACATAATACAGAAGTTGTCCCTGAGCTTAACTAATTAGGCACCGGCCATGATGACGTATGGGGAAGTGGAGGTATTGCTCCACCATTCTTGACCTCAGTAGTAAATGAAGGTGTGTGGTCAGCTTCACACCCCTGCCACCTTACCCTCATGAAAGTAGGCCCTGATGCCCATTGTAGAGGAGCCAGGGTTGGCTTTAGAGCTGGCCTGTTACGTTACGCTGAAGAAAAAATTCTCTTGGCCTTGCCAGGAATCTAACCACAGCTGTCCAGCCAGTAGCATATTTGCTATCAAATCATCAAAAATGAAACAGATTAGGACAACATTTGTATGGGCCTTAATTTAATATGCAACTTATTTTCTTTGGACACATTTGTGACTATATTGTGACATGTGGCCCCTACCTCCCCGGCGGTAACGTAGCGCTTGCGTAATAGGCGAGTCATCACCCCACCACTCTCCCCGCGGTGACGTCACCAAGTGGTAACAGCGTCCTATGCTATACGCACGTTACACTGGCAACAGCGTCCTAGGCTATACGCCACGTCACACTAGCAACAGCGCACGGCTATATAAGGAACTGCACAGCAACTAGGAGTTAGTTCTACTGTAGCAGTTGGCGAGTTCAGTTGTACTGTGACAGCCGCCGAGTTATAACGTGGCCATCGCCGAAGATAGTTCCGAGCAAGCCTACAAAAGTGTGTTATCAACAGTTCTCCAGTCAACCGACTACCGTTGGAGTATAGCAGCCGTCGCGGAAAGAAGAACCGGACGTGTGTGTGATTGTGTAATTGGGAGCGTGTGATACAGTGATACAAAGCTCCCCTACTGTAAACGTGTATACTACGGAAGACAGAGTGAACTGATTTGCGCATAGGGTTATAAGTCGTGAAACCCCGCAACAGTGTTAACAGATTAATGCGATTAGGGTTATAAAGTGTGAAACCCCGCAACTGTTAGCCGTTATTTGTAGATTGTTAAATAAACCAATTAACCATCTCTACGGCGTCTTCTGTAACGAAACACGTTACAATATATTCAAAACTCAAATTAGATAGCACATTGGATCATGTTCTCTTTTACTTCGTACAGTATCAAGGCTGACTCCAGCCTGACATGACTGCTGTATTTATCATCAATAAACAACATCCTTGTATGAGAGATTCTGCAACTAAAATCTTTAAAAGGTGATTAAACTGTACGTAATGTACTTTTCCTTATGTTTATGAGGAATAACTGACAGCCAGATGGAAGTAATTTATAATTAAGAGTGTGGGGATTGTTTAGAGGCCTCTGGAAGACTAAGAACGTTATGCAGCACTATAGTTCGGGAGTGGTTAGTTGTCAATGAAGAGATGCTGAACCAGGGATTTGTTTCTTAGAGATTAACTCAGACTCAGATGCAATGATGCTACTGTTTTTACTGTCGCACTTTTCATCTCTAATTCTGAGGAGGAAACATATCACCACTCACACACACACACTTTCTCTGTGAAACTTATAGTCAGGTATGGAAGCTGTCTAGAAACATTCAAATTCATGGTGATAAAATCTCTACATGATGTAAAGTTCTGAGACAGCATACTCTATCAGCAAACCATTAAGTACATTCTGAAATGTTTTATTTGCCTGAACCTGTACTATAGGATACGTCATGAGATTTATTCAAAGTTTTCATTCATAGTACAAAGTGATATACACATCACTTACGAGCAACGTTTGGACCAGGTCTTTCCTGGGACGCAGCTTCAGTAGAGGAATGCTGAGTCGAACCGAGCAAAGACCACCCCGTCCCTCATAGTGACATAACCCTGCACATCTGTAAATAAACTAAATATAATAAAGATACACATATACATAGGCACATTGTCTTTCAGGCACCATCAATGAAACTGCCATTTTTATTGCTTATTTCTTCAGATAAGCTGCATACACACCTCAAATCTCTGCATAATGTTAATCAAGAAAGACATACATTCATTCATTCATTTATTCACATTCCATAAAATCCTTACATGGTTTCAACAACCAACAGATATAGAAATCGTCAAATAGTATGAACTCATCTTGCTTATAAATCAAGCAGTTGTCAAATAGTTTGCAATATAAAAAAATTTAAGAGTTTACACAATATCACAGTAATCAATATACAATATAAAATAATGGTGATAAGTAATATGGATAATAATATTGACAACTAATCAGATATAAAGTATTATTACAGATAAAATGAAGTTACTTGGTCAATTTCACATTATTCTTTCCATAAAATCCTTACCCGGTTACACAACCAACAGATATATAAATCGTCCAGTAGTATAAACTCATCTTGCTTATAAATCAAGCAGTTGTCAATATGTTTGTAATATAAATCAAATTAAAAAGTTAAATATATAAATTACCCTTTGCATAATGTTGCCATTGTCATCTATTAAAATATTCCTCTAATGTATAAAAGGAGTTCACAAATAAAAACTCTTTTAAACTGGCTTTTAACTTATTTGCATTATTTGATATTATTTTGATTGTATTTGGAAGTCCATTATAAATCCTTGCAGCCATGTGATAAACCCCATTCCTATATTTCGCCAAATTGACCTGGTATATATGTATATTCATATGTTGTCTAGTATCTTTTTCATAGCAATCCTTATTTATATTAAACATTTCTTTATTATTTATTACAAACATAATTAATGAGTATATGTACTGTGATCTTAGGGGCAGTATGTTCATATCCCTAAAATGTTCTCTACATGACTCTCTAAGATCACAGCCTTTGATCAATCTTATGGCTCTCTTTTGCAATTTGAAAACNTTTGGAAGTCCATTATAAATCCTTGCAGCCATGTGATAAACCCCATTCCTATATTTCGCCAAATTGACCTGGTATATATGTATATTCATATGTTGTCTAGTATCTTTTTCATAGCAATCCTTATTTATATTAAATATTTCTTTATTATTTATTACAAACATAATTAATGAGTATATGTACTGTGATCTTAGGGGCAGTATGTTCATATCCCTAAAATGTTCTCTACATGACTCTCTAAGATCACAGCCTTTGATCAATCTTATGGCTCTCTGTTGCAATTTGGAAACCCTTTCGGCATGCGATGAGTTTCCCCAGAATATCAGGCCATACGTCATAACCGAATGGAAATATGAGTAGTAGATACTTTTTAATATTTTCATAGATACTACTGGTTTTATATTTCTGATCATGTAACAAGCTGTAATCAATTTCTTTGTTACCTCATCGATATGTCTGTCCCAGGTCATATCGTTTTCAATGGTCAGTCCAAGAAATTTAGTATGATTTATGTTTCAAAATCTTGGTGAGCAAATTGGCTTAAGTAGTAACGCTAATGATTTCTATATGAAGGGTACATGGTTTGAATGTCAGCACTATTTATTCTGTTTTGAGTTTTATTCCTTTCAGTTTGCCTTGGTTTGTAGATGAGAACTGAGGGGCAGTGCCCTTATGTAGGCCATAATCATTCCTTCCTACTCATATGTACTGATCTCATTCAACACTTGAGTACCCTCACAGGAACCAAAGTTAATAAATAAGTCAAGAAAAGAATTAACGAAGAAGTAAAGGTGAATTATAAGCATTAGCATATCAGTTATTAATTTTCAAAGATCCGAGAGGAAACAAGCTCAGTAATTTCCAAGGCAAAGATTTCTTCTCTCCGATCATTTCACGTCAGATCTCAGCCACACTTAGCCTTCGATCCAATGCAAACTGGACATTCTCTCCCTATGGGTAAGGTGGCCTAAACAGACCACTCAGATCCACTAAGTACCAAGATTAAGTATGTGTGTTGAAATGCACCTCTTCTTCCCCCATACATCTTCACTGCATGATGCTAAGTTAAGCATGCAAAAAGTTTGACTTTGGTACAATGGTTTCAGTATGTGAGTAGAAAAAATCACATACAGACCTGGCTGGGGATCAAACTCAGAATCCTCTAGTGTCTTACCCTGAGATTACCTGATTGTCTCACTGACTACTTGGGTCACAGCAATTATGAATGATATCAGACAAAGAAATATCTGTGTGATATGTACACAGCAGATTTGCTTCTAATAAATTCCTGGTACAGATATAGCCAATCTAATTGGAAGAATATTATTAAGCAATCTGGCTCTTTAAAATATGGGGTGGCACACATTTTGAAAAGGACAAGTCTTATTACACAGTGAAAGAACACAAGTCAACCCATCATCACCAAGGCAAACTATAACCTATACTGTCCACTACTTCTACAAAGAAAATCATATTCATAAATTCATGGTGTGGATAAATAAACACAGATCACTGCAGCAACTAACAAATTTACAAACACAGGATCCTATAAATCCAAAGAAACAAATCCCACAGATAGTGGGGATGATGACAATCAAGGCTTCCTCCTTTATGAATACTGCTGTACTCCACTCCAGCCATCTCTGTTGTGTGTGAACCAGTTGGAAGTGCTCATCAATACCCACATTCAAGTGAACAGAGTGACTATGCAACCAGAGAATATAAATAGGGGGAAGATTAAAGATATGGAATAGGTCAAACTATGGGACTCCGTCCTTTGACATCGATATACTTAGAGAATTTAAGTGAGGATAATATCTTTACAGAAACATCCTTACGAAGTCATTCTTGGGCTCCACCTCACTTCCACTGTCCTCAACTTTCCCCAGAAGAATCGGTTATCAAACTGCGTAAACAGAGCATGTATATCTGGTGTTGGATCCACATACTCCCATGATGGGTCTACAATGGAAGTTTTTTTAGGAGATTTCTTCTTATTACTGTTTTCCTTGTATTTGATGTCTGGAATTTTGTTTGTATGTGAACTTATTACAGACTCAGGTTTCAGCTGAAACATAATTCAAATAATTACAATATATGCTATGCAGAGAAAACAGAACATGCAAAATATTTCACATCTGGTCACAGAAGAATGTGATGTGAATTTGATTCTACAGTACTCTCATAACACTGCAACATCGTTACTACCGTTACTACTATGGCAGAACGGTGCCCGTTACGCCAGATGAAAGTCAGGTATTCTTTCATGAACTGTTCCTTACGGTCATATATGCAATAACGGGGGCTATTAAAAATGTAAAAGCATACTACTTTCTTTGAATTGGAGCAAAAAAAAAAAAAAAGAAATATACATACTTCTATTTCGTTTTAATAAATAAACTGTTCATGTAGCTGCAGCGCCAATGCAAAATCTTCGTCGAAGTGCATANNTCTCACACTCCGCACTGACTCCCAAGGGAAACGCTTGCCCTGCCAACCTGCAATCTGTCCCATTCCCGGGATACAACATACTAAAATAACTAAAATATATATTCGTCATATATAATGATAAATTTTAAATATTAGAACTGTTCTGGATTTGTCATCCTTATGTCGTATCTCAATACGCGAGTCACATCTATCTTCTTCTATCGGAGTATTACTCCGATAGATTATCTCAATATGCGAGTCACATCTATCTTCTTCTATCGGAGTAATACATAAGGATGACAAATCCTGAACAGTTTTAATATTTTTAATATTTAAAATTTATCAATATATATGACGAATATATATTTTAGTTATTTTAGTATAAAGACAACAGGGCATGCAATGAAGTAGTTCGATATACATCGAAAAGCACCTGAAGATGGCACTTTAGTGCTGAAACATGTAGTCCAAGAGAGAAAAGTAAGGTGAATAAATGTATGCACTGTAAGACGGTCAGAATAAATCATGGACATAAATCAGAGCAACAGGACGATAAAATATAACATTACTATCCACTATACTAGCTTATGTGTATACAAACAACAAACTCCGTGGCCTGTAGTAGGCAAGCGAACTATACCGAGCGAGCGACCGCCGCTTGTCGGCGAAGTTAGTGCCAACTCTAACGGATAGAGGGTGTAGCGTGGTCAGCGCAACGGATTCCCACGGCCGTTAATCTCGGTTTTCTAGACTGGAGCCGCTATTTCCTTGAAATAGCTACTCAATTATCCTCATGAGGCTGAGTGGGCTCCGTCCCAGATCCACTATTTCTCAAAAAATCTTGTAGCGCTGAGGAACCGAACCTGGGACCTCTGGATTTGTAGCCAGGAACTCTGACCACTAGACCACAGAGGTGGTCAGCCTATGTGTATAGGCCTCCAGAATCCTCAGTTCCTAGAACAACAATGAATACTTTTGCCATCCTTTTCTCGACCAATTGACCAAAGTGAAAATCAGTCAACATTTTCTTCAATTAATTTTGGTGGCTTAAATTACTGATCATAAATAATAAACAGTAAATATCTAGCATGGACCAGGTTTGTACTGTACTGACTATTCCTGGGGTAAATATTTTAATGTAATATTTGGCAAAGTTTTGTACATAAAATCGATGCAATTTATCCGCATATAAACCTAAGAATAATAAGCATTACTTTACAACCATGGCTGTAAAACGGAATTGTTTTTTGGATTCCTATAATCCTTATTCAAGATATTTTTCTCTCAGATGAATAGTTAGGAGGATATGCTCAAATATATATTTCGCCTTTCAAATAATGTGAACCTTAAAATTAATTAAAAGTGAATTCAACATGGCAACACAACCTAACCAGTCAAATGTTATGAAAATCCATTACATAATTCAAAAGGAAAATGTTCAGTCAGGCTTTTAATTGTCCCTTAAAATGAATTAAAGTGGATGAACCATATATAAGCTTGATTACCGTCTCCTAAGATGACATACAATGTACTCTGGTATATCATAAACATTTTTAAAGAATGCTGCCTCCATCTTCAGGGAGAAGGACTTTCCATCCCCAAGGTGGAGGCAGCACGGTTTTCTGAACATTACTAACGATCTATCAGACTGCATGGCGTCACATCCCAAAAGACTGCATTGAGTGTAAGATTTTCCAGAGAAGGTCAAAGAGTTCAACTGTCACTTCTCATCATGGCCTTATACCTCACTATTGGTGTATATGGAATTAACAAGCTCTCAGCACTAAAATTATATACTAGCAACCCCTCAAATATCACATATTTCTATGATACATAGAATAAATGTATTTCTTCATAGTCACAGCCTATTTGAAAGTACTGTTTCATCATTTCCCTGGAAGGATGGAGGAAATCATGGACTGTATCATCAAGGATAGCTGGTGATCTAGCCAAGATTAAAACTGGGTACCTCCAAAATATGTCATGTTTTACTGCTGAGATAAGTTGATTGGTGATACAATACAATGTATAAGAATAATTTTGGGATGCAAATTACCAACATGTTTCAACAGACACTCTATGCACTTGTGGGATAAATCACATGAAACTCCAATTATAAGATAAGTGTAAGATGACCTAATGAATTGCTGTGTGAAAATCTTGAATTATTAGACACATTCCACAAGTTTTCAAATATGAAATGAGAAACTCCTATAAAATTAACAGTGCAGTTCACTACTAATCTGGCAATTTAATACATTAGAGCTCAGTGGTCGTTATATGTAGCATCTGCTGTAACATTAAAGAACTTCTGCATTTTGCCCACACAATGTATTTATGTCTTCTATATTTATCAAAATAAATGGAAATTATTTCCCTGAACAATATCAACAAATTGGCCTTTCTAATGTAGATGCAATGTACTTACAGTGAAGTAGGGACTGAATTTTAATGTATTACTCAGATTAAATTGTGCTTCAAAAGGTTATATAGCTGATCCAAAGGATTACAGAATCATCAGATTGATGATACTCATAGAAATTTGCATAATCTCCAATTTGAAAAACACATATCATGCATGACAATATCCATCTTAAAGAACTGGAGGAAGTGCACAGGATATAGCTGAGACTCCTATCCAAAATTACTAGAACAAATCTATTTCTCTTATTAAGCTGCAACTACTATGACAACATTGCAGTAGAATATAAATGAAACCATGTTATATTTGCAACATGTAATGTGTAAGTACTTATTAGTAATTTACAAAACAAGTTACAACACATTACAATACAATACAACACAACAGAATACTGCTCATTAAGTGTAAATTCTTTATATAAGCATTTCTACGAATAGACAAAAAATGTTTAAGATGCATCATCACAGAACAATAACAATAATAATATCCATACAAAAGAGAAGCTAATATAAAATAATTTGAGGATAATACACTTATTATGGAGATGAAAATAATGTAGGGCAGATTTCATTGCATTTTCTTCAGCACATTAAATGACATGTTATCAGAATTTAAAAGTCATGAAAACGCATTATGGCACTAATGTTCAGAATTTCTGCAACAGAATAATTTTAACACTGTACACAAATATGATACTTATTAATACCCACAACTGAATTTAAAACTGTCACTGAGTAAAAAATGATACAATATTCAGATTATGCAATTTAATCTTGAAAATATCTCTGTTTCCATGATATGATATCTTCATAGACTTTCATGTATATCTATGACATTAATCTCATACTTGAATTAACATGTACCTGTCTCTTTCATTACCAAGACTTCACACATAAACATGAAATTATGCAACAGTGAACAGAAATATTTCAATAAAACATAATGAGCATAAGCTCTACTCTATATAAAACATGTACAAAGGGGCTAAAACTATTTTATTCATATGAGTGATTTGCATACAATCCTGTTCTAGGTTTTTACATCCGGAATCTACCATATATCTAACTACTGTACATGGCACATGCATACAAGTATCAAGAACTCATATTTTGCTGATCATATCCAGCTGCTATTGCGGCAGAAAATGTACAGAAGAACTGAAATTTATATTCTCATGTAACAGAATTAACAACCAACGATGTAATATGTTTAGTGCATTTACAGTGGTCACAGATCCTCATGTGTTACTCACTCAAATCCACAGCATTGTGTGCATTTAGATTCTACATTATTGGCAGAAATATGACTAGAATTCAGGCACAACATGAGCTTATAACTTTCTGAGTTTCATTTCAACCCTTAACAAGTTATGATTACTTTGTAAATAACTAATTTAAAGGTCAGTTAAATCAACACAGTGACCATAAAGCACAGTAAAAAACGCTTATTTTCCTAATGATCTTTTCCAGAGCGAGCTTGATAATCAGGATGCTATATGTTCTCTTGGAGTAGGAAATAAATCTACTGTGGGAAGAAAGTGGAAACAATACAAAACGCAGGAGGAGGGTGAGGATGAATTGAACCTGAAATTTCCGTACCTATTTTGTCCCATACTTTTTACAAATACTAACAACACCTTATCCTTGGGAAAACTGCTAGGAAATAGAATTTAGCCTTAATAATGATGAGTCACTTTGCAGTATTGTCTGCAGATGTGTCTGCTCAATTATAAAGCAAGGAAGTGTTTCAGTTATATGGCAACATCATCACATCTATCATGCAACCCAGATATAAAACAAATTTCAGGGTAAAACAATTAACATCTTTATCTCTTTCCACATGTCACATGATTGTGAAATGCACAGAAAAGCAAATCAACTGATGTTGGCCATCCACAGTTTATACTATTGCTACATTCTCCAATTTTCTATTAAGTATGCAATGGCAAAATGGCAAAACACAGTGTCTATATCTCACCAATTTTAATGGAAATGTGGACACAAACAGTAATTAAACAGGAAATTCTGATTTTGGAAGCTGCAACATCTCGTTTCATTTTTCTAGTGATACTATGTGTAAGATGAATCATAAAACTGTTGGAAGTTCAATGTTTGGCCAAGAACACTGTACAATCTCCAGTGAAGCCATATATTCTTGACAGTCACATTTCTTTATGTAACTTCTGCATGAAACTGAATGCACTTTTTTAATTATTTGTCCTATGAAGCTGCATGATTTTAGTATGTGATGCAATTCGTGAATTACTACCTAACATTACAGTGCAGAGAAGTTTAAAATTCATGTAGTGTTGCAAGGAGCTTACATTCAACATGTTCATTATCTCAAGAACTTAAAATATTTTCATTTTGAAGGTTGAAATGCCCCTTCCCATTCTCTGGTGGTTCTTTATAATTCTGTTTCTTTTTTATTGGTTTTAAGTTCTTGGTAGAAAAAGAAATGAAACTTGCATCATCTGATTAACCTCATACAGATACTCCTTGTTACATACAAGTTAGAGAAATGTGATTTAATTTTAATGTGTTCAACTAATTTGGGTACAATTAAGTTAATAGCACTCACTTTAAAGGGAACTGCTTGTTGTTTGACCCCAGACAGATCTGGAGGAGGGGATGAAGAATACTGCATGGGTGTCAGAGGAGCAACACCTTGAAAGTACATACTTACATTTATAAATTGAAAACCTACCATGATCACATTCAGTGTTAATTAATTTGATGTCAATGTTCTAAAACATATAAAGATCCTTGATAGCTGGACATCTGAAACAAGAGCTTATTCAGAGAATGTGGGGAAAACAGGACTTGAATAAAATTTAATGCATTGAGACTAGTTACTTCTGTCTGTTTTGTAATATTTATAAAAATAGCTGGTGGCTACCAAAAACACCAACAGATCTAAAGTACACGATAAAGTTCACGATAAATGAGAGATACAAAATAAACAAACTCCTGATGATGATGATAATGATGATGACTGTAGGACAATTAATAGTGAAAATTACACCCTATTTATTTTTTTATAAATATATAGAATTGCTTCAAAGGGTAAAAAATTAAACATATTACATATTTTAAATTTAAGGAAACTGAATGGTATCAATTTCAAATTCTAAATAAATCTTTGTGCCTTATGGTACTCTGTTAATTTATAACCATGACTTTTTCTCTAGTTATATAATTACATGGATAAAAATTCTATTCAACAAACTAAATCTCATCTCTTAACATCCAATATAAACAGTGTATACTATTATCTCCTTCAAAAGGAATTTAACATCTTTCTGTAGAGTTCACCTGCTTCTTCAGCTACAAGAATTCAAATAAAGCATTACCACTCCCTTATTAACAATGCCATATGTATGAGAAGACCTAACATGTTTTATAAATTCACTTGAAGCATATCATTTTTTTATAATATTAGAAGAGAAACCAACAAGTAAAGCGTTCATTTTGCGCCATCTGCAGGCAGGTCATGTGACTTTGCTGCATGCTGGCTGACACCTGGCAAATAAAAGTGACACAATTGCTATTCTCAAGTTTTCTGGCATCAACGAACCCTGGACCAGTGTTTTAATTACAACATGAAGGAATTTAAGTATGGTACAATAATAAAATCACCTCAAAGACACAAAAACTGAGTATATCGGAGTGATAGATTCTAACTTCCCACTTCTTGTAAATGTCAAATTCTTGGCTCGAAGAAAAAACCTTCAGAAATTAAAATCTCTATGGCATGATCACATGTGCTGAGATCTTATAAAATGCAGTCTAATAGGCTCTATGATATGGATTCTTGCAATAAAATTTATGACTAATACCAGAAGTTAAAGCAAGTGAACATAACAAATTAACAACATAAAACTGATATCCCTGAATTCCAGATCCACATGACAAACATCACCTACAATAATCCTGCTCTTGATGTCACTCACAGTGACGTGAGATTGAGAAACTTTGGTGTCTTGCTAATGCCCTTTGAACCTGAACCTCCTCCTCCTTCCCAGATGACAACACTGCCATCTGCTGCTGAGGCATACAGATGTTGGGCATCATGAGAATAGGTGAGACTATACACAAAGAAACATGATTTATTTAAACCTCACGATTCCGTTGCCGACATAAAGAGAGGCATGTGGACAACGACATTCATCTGAGGAAAGATCAGCAGGAAAACTTAAATCAAGAAGGAACACTATTACAGATGCTCATGTAAATTTAAATCTGCATACAATTTGTGTGTGAAACTTGGTCTCTGACATTAAGGGAGGAAAAGCGGCCTCCGTAGTCTAGGGGTAACGTTCCCGCCTCATGACTCAAGGTACGCGGGTTCAAACCCTGCGGAGGTTGTGGAATTTTTAAGAGTGGAAAAATTCAGGGAACAAGTCCTCCGGGAGGGACTTTAAGCCGTGGGTCCCGTGTCGTAGCTTTACGGCACGTAAAAGAACCTCATTTCTCAAGGAGACCTCTGAGCCAAATTTGTAGGGACATTTCCCGCCCAACAATAGTCTCTAACGCCTCTGGTAGATGGGGGAAGCATCTAGATACCGCTGAGCCAGTAGAGGCCGAACTCGCTGGCTGAGTCGGGACTGATGGCATGCACCAGTACCGGTAGGGTATAGAGACTGGTAGTATATCACAGCAGGACGTACAATAGATCAAACTCATCGCGGTGCATGGGGAAACCCACCCCCTCCAATAATAATAATAATAATAATAATTAAGGGAGGAAAATAGACTGAGGGTGTTTGAGAACAGGGTGGTGAGGAGAATATTTGGACTGAAGAGAGATGAAATTACAGGAGGTTGGAGAACACTGCATAATGAGGAGCTTCATAACTTGTACTCTTCTCCAAGTATAATTAGAATGGTAAAGTCAAGGAGGATGAGGTGGGCAGGGCATGTAGCATGAATGGGGGAGACGAGGAATGCATATAGGATATTGGTGGGAAAGCCAGAAGGAAAGAGACCACTGCGAAGACCAAGGCATAGGTGGGAGGAGAATATTAAAATGTATCTTAGAGAGATAGGATGGGATGGTATTGATTGGATTGATCTGGCTGAGGAGAGGGACCAGTGGAGGGCTCTTTTGAACACAGTAATGAACCTTTTGGTTCCATAAAACGCTGGGAAATTCTTGAGTAGCTGCAGAACTGGTGGCTCTTCAAGAAGGGCTCAGCTCCATGAGTAAGTAAGTAAGAAAGTAAGTAATACAACTTGTGTTCCTATCAAGACTGCAAGAGGGATTAGATGCAAGTAGACACCATCTACTCAGTATCAGGGCACTTCATTTTGAGGGAGTTATTTCCAGTGTCTTAAGTCATTATAATTATCACTCCCAATGATAATGTAGGAATAAATTCACAATCTTACATTGTATTAATTCTTTTTAATATTTATTAACCACCCTCCTGGGCTTTTCCACTAATATACAGTATCTACTTAATTCTGAACTGGAACACTGGCCTAGTTCTGAACTGTAGAAAATACTTAACGGTGTACTGAAGCACTACTTAGTTCTAAGAAGTCATTCCCACCCCCAGGTTCATATGGATTAAATATTCTGCTTGATGGTTTTCTAAAAAGCTTAATTTTCCAAGATTAAAATGCAGTGTAATGCTGCAATTGTTTAAAAGTAAATAACTAAGGGATGGCACAAGTATAAAATTAGTACACATTTCAGCAAACTCAAATTAATATTATTTATGGTTATTTTAAAATGTACTGAATTTATGGACAAAAAAAATTAATACCTTATGATTGGACGTGTAATGAAACTTGTAGTAATTTCTCGAACAGGAGATAGGTCCCAGGTACTCCACAATCTGAAAAATCACACTGTCTATCATACTCAGTCACGATTAGCGTTAAAGCATGTTAAGAAATTAAGCCATCCAATACAAATCTGTATTCATAAACAGAAACAGACATTGCTGCAACTGGGAAAAAGTCAAAAGAAGCAAATATTTTGCAAAACTTTGTTCATATTTCTTGACTTTGGGCTGAGGACACAAGAATTAAACACTTAAACATGGAAAGGTTCTACTGATGTTTTGAGTTTAAAGGCAAATTCCTGGTATTCTTCATATTGGCTGTGATTTTCGCACAGAAACCTTAAACTGGGCTCACCATGTCCTATTCTGTTAACTGAACAAATTGAAATAATTTCCTGTTTTCAAAGTACAAAATCCTGAATCTTGAATTTTGTCTTGAACGAAATATACCTAATACAAGTATTGAGCATTACACAAACCCAAATTAGCAAAATAAATGGAAAACCTAATTTATAAATGGAGTTACAGATTCAAACCAAAATGTTGGTTCTCATTGACTTGAAGTAAACTCAAATTGCAAAGTATGTGTAGATTTCAAGACAACAAACATTTTACAATGCTTTGAATATCTGACAGCCAACCCACACCCAGAAATGCCAAGGCTGTTCAAGGGTAAATGCAGTTGTACAGAAAACCCACAGCATTTCCTTCAAATGACCTTCAAACACCATCAGATATATCATGCAGAAGCCTGTTCTTTTCACTTAACATCAGTCACTTCTTGCCATCTATTGAGAGAAGATCTATACTGATTACCAGTGTGCAAATATCTTCAGCTGTGGTGGTATTAACACAAGAATCTTTAGCTGATATGTTCATAGATGGCATTGAAAGGGTTAATGATCTCGTTTTTCTTCATGTGCCCTTGGGATTATTTTCTCTGTTATATATTCTCTTTAAGAATACAAAACAAAACAAATTTTTCCAGAAATGTTTCTTACCTAATGGCTCCACTGGCTAGACCGGCAGCTATGACATTCACGGATACACCCTCTGGTGCTCCAGAGAAACAGAGAGCTGTTATGGAGTCCCTCATGGCGACAGTACCAATCGGCACAGCATTGATGGAATGCAACCGTAACATACTGCCCCCCAGCGCTGCCTCCAAAGTGCCAGCACTAGCACTGCTAACCATCGCAATGTCTCCCAGAGTCTCACTCACTGACACAAGATTCACTGGCATCGTCATGTTATTGCCAGAAATGCAGCGTATGTATGATAAACTGCAATGCACATCACATTATTATTACTACTACCAGTGATGTTCAGCTTAACACCTGGGAGGAAGGAAGAGGAAAAAGAAAAGTTCCGGTATGAAAACTCAAAAGAAAACAGACCACTAGGAAGAATTGGGAACAGATGGGAGGATATTATGAAAATGGATATTAAAGAAACAGGATGGAAAGATGTGGACTGGATTTATCTGGCTGAGGACAGGGACCTGTGGTGAGCTATTGTGAACACGGTAATGAACGTTCGAGTTCCAGAGAATGTGGGAAATTTCTTTACTAGTTCAGGAACTACTGCATTCTTAGGAAGAACTCTGCTCCTTGGGGTAGCAGCAGTAATAGTAGTAGTAGTAGTAGTAGTAGTAGTAGTAGCAGCAGCAGTGGCAGACAAGCATTGGTATTGGTCATAATTTAACCTTCAGGTTCTGTCACAATATTGTTAGCAATAGAAGCAGCAGCAGTAGCAATATACTTTGTACATGATACATAAAAGTGATACATTAAACTTCACTCAGTTTTCCTAGCATAGCCAATAATACAGCCAGCTCGACTTTGATAAATCTTAACCCGGTTACCAGCTATGGCTTCATCAAAGCCATCAGCTTTGTCAGATAACTGTCTGCAGAAACTTCTGTTATACTCATCACAGGAAGCACTATTTTGCTCACTTTGGCTTTTCACTTTCATTTACCTCAAACTTTGTCTTTTTTTCACACAAATAAAAATTATATGGCACAAAATAATTATCTCTTAAAGTTCACCATTCTGTAATATTTTTAATATGATTAATACAGTGAAGTGTTAATTACAGCAAGTTTCAGAAAATAAACTTCACTATTCTATATAATAACTTCTTTTTTCCCATATATTTATGAAGATGTGTTTAAGTACTCACTTGTTGAGATCCCAGATAATGGCAGATCCATCCTGACTTCCAGAAACCACAATGCTGAAACTACAGCAGATGTAGATATTTTGAATAGGGCCTTCATGCCCAAGGAGTGTCACTGGTTCACTGTCAAAGTGCAGATGACCCCTGGAGGGGGTAAATTTATATCCATATACAACTATCTTTCCTGACCAGTGTCCCATCCACAGTTGACTGCAATCAGGCACACTTGCACATGTACAGATCTGGAGGCATCAAAGCAAGACAGTCTTGTATTATTATGCTGGACTTGCAATTGAAAAGTTCCTGGAAATATGTACTCCTTTCAGTAATATCCCAAGTACTGCTACCAAGTGCTGTGGTCAAGTGGGAAGCACTCCTGCTTTGTAGTCAGGAGGTCTCAGTTTCACAATATTAATCCAGACACTGACCACCCTAACTGAGAAGAGTTTCTCTTCTGTCCCTCCAGGAAAATGCATAATACAATTACCTCAAATTTGGCCATGACCACATCCTTTCAGATCCTTTCCAATTTGTTATTATTCAGTGCTACATAGTTGCAATACTGACAATGTCATTATAACTTAAAACAAATTAATTAATCACTAAGCATAATATCATCATTCACTATACTGTCTGAGTTACTGACAGTGTTGCTAAATAAACCATAAGTGAATAAACAAACAAATCAGTACTACCAAAGTTAACATTCTAAGAAGCAGATCTCAAAAATAATTTAATATTATTATTATACTTACTGTACCATATTATGAAACTCTCAGTCAAAACTATAAAGAAATACAAGACATTCTGGGAAAAATTAATGGCCCATTTTCCTCTGATACCACATAAACCGCACAGAAAACAAAAAAAAAAATTTGCATGAAAGAGACAAACATACAGCCATACAGAGAGCAAGGTAATCCCATAAGCCACATAATACTCAGTCTTAAAATATCAAACTACAATAGGTAATATACCGGATCAAGACCAGGTGATTTGACCACTGGCCATGGGGGTTGCTCCTTTTTCAGTTTAACTCTGACAACACCATCTGCATGGCCCCATGTGACTAGTGCTGCCCCCAGAACTGAGGTAGCATTTACCATACTGAGTCCTGGAACACAAAGTCTAAATTCAAACACTGCTTCAAAACACCATATGCACAGTGTGATATGACAAGTGCTCCTTATGTGATCAGAGTCTGCATGTTTCTGAAGATGATGTATTACAATAAACATGAATATTATTTTGGACACCACCCACTGTCTTGAGATTTTCAAACACAACATTTGCTACTCAGATGGGCCTGTCAGAAACAGCCAGTCTCGATCAGCAACCAGCGCGGGGATTGGCTAATCTGGGAATCAATGATGATCGAGCTCCACCCTAACAACATGAATAGGGAGGACAGGTTCTCCTCAGGCAGGTCAATGAAGTCTCTCATTCATTCCTTTCAGGAAAGGAAAAACAGTTCTTCCCAGAGACAAGACAATTATTTCAATACCACTCCTTCATCCTGGAACTTTAAAAGTTCATTTCCATCCACAGGGGTAATGGAAAAGGTCATCTTTTAATTTCCCACATTTTCAGCTCCTGCCTGTCAAAAATATTTTGCTCTGTTCCTGAAAAGTTCTTTTCCTGTTCACTGTTCCTATTGGGCCAGATCAGGCTCTAATTCCTATTCACTTCCTGTTGATTTGACTAGATCTCCTGCCATATGCTTATATCACCCAACTGGTTCTTCATCCTACACATTTCATCCCTGAAGACTGAAGCAACATGTTCCACTGAAACCTAGAACATTACACAGCTTCATAGTCCCCTGTTAGCATCTGAACAGTTGGAAGAATCTTGTTCACATTCATTCCTCAAGAGTTCATCCAGCAAAGGTTAGTGTCTGGTAACATGAACATTACAGTTTCAAAAATGGGGCCCTTCAGTTGGGCCCCAAAAAAACAAAACTTTTTTAATCTGGCCATAATGTTTTTGATTAAATGTCAGTAATTTAAGTAGACCATAGCCTCAAAATAAGATTGCATCTGTGGCATCTTCAGAAAAATAACAGTACACACACTAAGGGCCCAAATGATTATGCAATACATTTATGCGCTTGCTTGTACACATACAGTCACAGAACAACACTCAGTTCTTTGCCAATGTAACATAATCAGGTTAACTCTATATGTCTTTGCATTACCTTTCTCTTTGCTGTACTTAAGTAGAAGAGAAGTCTGTGGAGCTAATCCAAACACATCATTAGTCAGCAATGGAACCAGGCTGGCAACTGGAGTCCGATGCTGATGCTTCCATACTACTACAGGGTCTGGGTCAGCAGGAGAGCCAACATAACTTCCCCACAGCAAACCTTTCACACCTGGAACTACTTCTCTCTGTCAAACCAAGGAAATGTTTTGTATTACAGCAAGTCATTTCAGTATAAATAAACTGAACATTGAGGTTAAGTGTGTAACACTCATGCTTCACACATGGAAGAGTCTCAAAATTATGTCTTAACCTGCAGACCCATTATTTCTTGATTTCATTAGTCCCACCAGGCAAATGAAGAGACAGTACCTCAAATTAGACCACAATCACTTCCTTTCAAATCCTTGCAATTCATTATGTATTAATTATTCTATCATTTAATGCCATATACTCATAGTGTGAGCTGCTGGTATCATTATTAATTAAATGATAAATACATATATTAACTTCCCAACTTACATGATTATTTCATTCCAAAGGTTTTCATGTAAGTTGAAAATAATGCAAATCCAATGGTGCTTAAACAGGACATATTTTTTGACATATACATTTGCAGTTTTTATATAAACACAAAACAGAGCATAAATATATGTAAAATAAAATGTATCATGACATACAACATTATAGTACATAAAGCCTGTACATGCAATCTAATGACCATAGAAGTTGAAGTACCTAAACTGTAATAAAAGATAAGTACTTGTGCATCCATTTATCTGTGGATTTGTGTAACTCAAAGACTTACTGCACAACTAAATATGTAATAAAAGGTAAAGTTGTCCTTGTGCTTAACTAATTAAGCACTATTCCATGAAGGCATGTGGGGGAATGTAATACATTTGAAAAAATTAAAATCTCGATATCTTAAGAAAGAAAGAGGAACATTTTGCGCTTTACCAGTTTTCTCTATGACATGCCACTTCAGAGAGAAACAGGTTGGAGCAGATGGGCAAACAGACCTTGCAATTAAATACAAAATTGAATCTTAACACCAATTTGTAGGTAGAAGAAAAGACAGAAATACATTTAAACGCATCGTAGTACCAGCTATATGACTGGAATTTATACAAACACTTCTGGACTACATCACATCTGTGTCTCACAAGCAGGATCATTTCATTACTAAGAATTTACCACAGATGAAGACAGTGTCCTGGAGGCTAATGACTGAACCACCATTGGATGAGGCGAACGGAACAGCTGCCGTGGAGTTTGCCCATAGGTTCGTACCATGGTCTTCCATGCTTTCCTCTCCAAAGGATCATGTATTTTCTCTACATCAAAACCAGAGTATGTCTGGAATATAAAGACAATTACATATTTAAACTAACAATACACCATTATAAAGTATGTGTAAGGAAGGAAATGAAAACATGTCATTAACATTTCATGACAAGAACAAACAAAATGATAACGTACTGCTGGGTGGAACACATTTATGGCTTCAACAGCTGCCTTGCCAGTCTGTTTATATCCAAACACAAGGTCAATCCATAGAGGCAAATTTTCGCGTGCGTGTGCTGACTCAAGTGCCTGACGGTGAATTAGAACAAAGCGTCTGGCATCACCGTGGCTCCATGGAGGCAAGGCAACATCATTCACTGGCTCTCCATTTTGACGAACTCCAAAGTTGAACTCTGAAAAGAAACAGTACACACTGAGTTAAAAAATACACTCTACTCAAGTTCACAGATACACAATTGATCTGAACAAAACTACATTTGCAGACTCTCCTAACAGTTCAAGAAACTCTGACAGTAACTGAATGCAATGGCCAAGAGCCACATGAAAATGTATTTTGTGCCCATCATTTCAGGGACTCTGTCTCCATCATCCCTTGCAATGCTGACCACCAAAAAATATTTCACTGCACTCAGTCCTGAACTATATTAATCTCACTGCATATCAATAAATGTTAATATACGCACACTTAGGTACAAAAATGGTTGTCTGAACCTTCTGCCACACACTTTATGAATCTATACCACATTATAATCATGTGCAGAGTGTTACATCTTTACATTCCTTGATATCTCTTCTGATTGTCTGCATACATGAACAGCAAATGGTAAGAGTGTCCTTTTTACTTCTTTCAATTTCTGATGGAATATTTTTATTTCATATTCTTAATGAAATATACTGTTAAAGAAGTTAAACAGGCCATGAGATTAAGAGCTCAAATACAAAAATGGTACAATCAACTTCTCTTATAACTTAAGAAAGGGAAGAGTGGGGATGAAAGAAGAGAAAAAGAAAAAGAGATAAGGAAAGAGAAAAATCCTTCAGGATTATACCTTCTGAATTCCTCAAGAACTCTGGAAGAAAAAAGAACTCTGGGATGAGTTCCTTCACATCAGTGGTTGATTCTGAGCTCGACAGTCGCCATGTAGTGTGTAGAGAATGAAATGTTCGATCAGGAATATCAAAATTATGATCTGAAAACGAATACGGTATTGCTACAAATACTGTAATAATCTCATGTCTTTCTTTTTTGTATAACTGTACAATTTAAACTTTTTACCTTCTTACTCATCTTAAACACATTTTACAATGGTCAACAAAGGATAGCCATGGCTTGAACATGAGAAAGTACTACAGATTTGTTCTGAAAAGCTGTACATCAGGTGTTATCAAAATTTCTGAGTTCCACAATTTTATGAAGGAAAGGTACAAAGTTAAAGTTGTTTTTACATCTGAGTCCATTAATTTGCATCATTTACAAATATACTTAATTTTTACTTACTGGCAGATACACTAATAACAAACTGTATGTTACTCAGAACTACTAGGTTTTTGGACTTTGTCCATCATCTGGTATTCTACAAACTAGCAAACACATCGTTATGCAAACTGGATCTGTTTCCATCCTCAGGTGAGGGGAAGAAGTCACTTACTCTGTTGGTTACCTTAGGAAGACCTAACCTCAGACAATGGACAACAGAGAGAAAGAAACCCAGTAATTCTTAGTAATAGACACCATCATCAGAACCCTTCAGAATCTACTGTGTATGTGCTTATAAGTGTGCCATGTTGTCATCTTTAGAGACATCAAAATACTCAAAATTAGGCTACTGTCTGTGGTTATTTCATTAAGATATACTGTCTACATGCAGATACCATGATGGACTGGAAGTAACACAGCAAAATCAGTCAGTTATCCTTGTGGCAGTGCTGTTTTCAGTTACCTTGATATGTGAGGAACATTCGTGTGAAGGGGGGCAGACGAACCAAGAAGTGGAGAACAGTGCCCGAATTGGAATAATGGGATCCATAATGGAATGGTTCTTTGTTAAGAGATGCCATATGGATACCTTCCATCAGTTCCTGTTTCAAATACTGTAACACGGTAAAGAATTATTAACTATTACACCATGATCATAAATCACGACAAAATATATGTATCACAAAACAATATACAATGATATTCAGAGGAGAAAGAGTATGCCTCATCAATAATGTTTTCTCTAGAACCTACGCAAAATCGATACAAATAATTAAGTATGATACATTTTCAAGCAGAGTTTTAACCATCTCACTTTAATTATATGCTAAGCACAAACCACCTTATTTTGACTACTGCAAGTAAAGATCACACACATAACTCTATCACTGGGGGGTAAGAGGATCTACCCTATGGGTACCCCCCACCTCAGAATAAGATTCTATGCCTATGCCTATGCCTAGGGTGCAGACTGCTAAGGTCCATAATTCAATTCAATTCAATTCAGTTCAATTTATTTTGTTCATCAGATCTACATTTGGCGATGGCGCCACCAGATATAGAACACATCAAAGCCCTAGTTACAATAAAATTAATCCAGAGGACAATGTCATTAAGACATTACAACATATCCACAACCATTGTTGCAATAACTGATGATATAATGCTATAACTAAACACAGCATGCATATAACACTCGCACTGCAACTTAGCATAACAAAATGCATATCAACATTGTCAATAACAGAGCAAAATCATATCCAAAGAGTTATGGGCATCTTACAATAAAAGTTTAAAAATGACTAGTGTAGTTTTATTTATCTGTAATTAGCACAATCATCCCTTGTTTTCCATTCATAATACTCACCTAAAGAACAAAAAGAGCACACCTGCAATTAGATAATTAAATACAACATGCATGTAACACTTGCACTGCAACTTATTATCATAATAAGATACAGATTAACATTGTCTATAACAGAGTAAAATCATAACTAAAGAAGTATAGGTATCCTACAATAGAAGTTTTAAAAATGACTAGTGTTGTTTCACTTATCTGTATTTAACACAATAATTTCTTGTTTTCCATTCATAATACTCATTTAGAGAATAAAAAGAGCACACCTGCAAAAACTTTTTAAGGGAATATTTGAATTTATTTAAATCTTGCGAAAACATTTTTATACTATGTGGTAATTTGTTAAATATTCTAATTCCAGTGTAAGATACTCCCTTTTGAGCCTTGGTTGATTTATAAGTTGGATAATGTAGTTCGTATCTTTGTCTCATATAAATGTTATGAATATCTGAATTTGCTACATACTTGTCCATGTTTTTAACTATGAAGACCAATACTGAAAACATATACTGTGAATAAAAAGGAAGAATGTTTAATTTTTTAAATAAAGGCCAACAAGTGTCCCTATTTCCTGCTTTCATTATTACTCTAATTATTCTTTTCTGAATTTTAAATATTTGTGTACTATATGTTGAATTTCCCCAGAATATTATGCCATATGACATTATAGAATGAACGTAGGCATTATACATCATCAATAAGCTCTCTAGGGACAATATTGAGACTAGAATTCTTATAGCATAACAAGCCGAGCTCAATTTACTGGCTATTTGTTTGATATGTTCCTTCCATGTTAAAGTACTATCAATTGTCAGCCCATATATACCATATATGGAAATATTACACAGATAAATATATGTACACATATCTAATACATAAAAACTCATAACAGACCCTGAAACAACAGTTATGTTACTGCGAGGAAATATTATTTACAAACTTGAACACTTCATCCCTATTCAGTCATTACCATCTTAGCTAGTGCAAGAATAAATAAGACAAATTATTGAATAAAGTACTTCAATATTTAGCTGGTGTGTGTGTGTGTGTTCAGAGTAAAAGTACAATATTTTGTAGACAATGCACACTTAGGCTCTGAACTGATGTGGCTGGCCACCTGAGAAGATTTTATCAGAATTGAAAAATTACACAAATTCTTATATAAAAATTCCGACGGACGTCTCCAACTTACGTTGTAACAGTTAATGTAATGTTGTTCATTCTTCTTGTCTTGAACTGCCATCGGCTTTTTGAAGTTTCTGGAACGAATAACAGATGTGTTTCAATTTAAGAAACAGAACAAAGTTCAGGTACAAGGTAAAACCATGTATTACAAACATTAAAAAAATACAGTATGAAAAGAAACTTGCTTGTTTAGCAAAACTGGAGAGTTAGACACTTACAGAAATAAAACTGACACTTCACTAGTAAGTGATGCAATAAGAATGAGTTAACAGTTTACAGTATATTAGTCTGAAAGAGGTTTGGAACACAGTACTGAGGTGAATATTTGGAGCCAAGTGACTGGAAATAACAGGATGCTGGAGAAAACTGTATAATGAGGAGAGTCACACCTTCACAAAGTATTATTATGATGACCAAAATAAGGATGACATGGATGGGGCATGTAGCATGCATGGGAGCATAAGCAATGTATAGAGGTTTTGGGTTGGAAAACTTTAATAAAAGATATCATTTAGAGACTTAGAAGTAGACGAGAAAAAATACCACAACAGTCTTAAAAACATACTGTGGATTGGATTCATCTGGCTCAGGATGTGGACCAACGGAGGGTTCTTATGAGCATGGTACTGAAATTTTGGATTTCATAAAAGGTAGGGGATTTTTAACCAGATGAGTGATTGTGGACTGTACTTCTGGTCTGCAGGTTCCAGAAAGGAATAAATGTCACCCTGTACTAGAAAGACCTGGCCATACCTGTTCCAGGGATATCAATGGAACTAGCTAGGTACTTGAAAATTAGCTTTATTTCACTCAGGACACAGTGCAATACAAGAACAGTTACAATATGTAATCAGTGCACAAAAATACCTGTAAGCTTGTGGATCAGTAAGGTCAAGCACTTGACTAGTGTAGTCAGCAAGCACAAAAGGAAAAATAGGATACTGCATTAGATCATTATATGAACGACCAGCCATCTTGTTAAGCTGCGTGAGATATTCCCAGTTTGTGAGGAGTCCCTCTCGCCACAGCTGAACAGCGTCACTCAAGTTGTCACCAGCAACTCGATTAGGCAGATGACATTGTGATAATTCCCATGCAAAATTATCACGTTCCTGCAAAGAAATATATATTTCATTATTCACTCCTAAACCAGAAGGGAAGAGGCTACTTGAAAGATCTAGACATACATGGGATGATAATATTAAAAATGATCTTCAAGAAATAAGGTGGGAGGGTGTGAATGGGATTCATCAGGTTCCATAAAAGGAATGGAATTTATTAAGTAGCTGAACAACTATTAGCTTTTCAAAGACTTTGTTCTATTTAGTCAGTTACTTACTTGTATACCTACTTTAATATATCATAAAACTTAACAATACAAATTTTTAATTGTAATGCAAAACTGAATCATGTTGACCAAGTATCAAAGATTTGTGTGTATTATGTCCTTCATATGGCATGAACAGGGAATGGTGTAAGCCAGCTACATGAATCTGAGATGAACTTACAGAAACTCAATACAAAGACAAAAAAAACATGCCTTTGCTTTTGTTCTTGCATGGAACTCTTCTTAGATGACAAAATGGACTCATGGGTGACAGATTTCGGATACACATACTGTAACACTGTCACGAATTCAACTAACACTTACTGCAATGGTGGCATAATGAGAGAGGAAAACAGATAGGACAGCTGGTGGCAGCTGGAAGAACTACTGTGTGGAGGGCAAACATACATGCACTGGAAATTTGTTTTTTGAATAACTTCCTAAAAATAGTAAAATTTCTTTGAAATTTTTGTTTGCCGGATAAGCATTCCACATGCTTGAATTCCAGACAACTGGAAGTTTACAGTATTTACATACAAAATGTGAAAGAACCATACACAAAATTTACTATCTATTTAACTACTTCCCATGCAAACCTTATGCTCAGATTTTAAATTTTTGAACTGACTGAAATGTTTTATCATATTTTCAAATCCATATTTCTGATCCTACTATAGGAAATACTTCAAAAACTTTTTAATCACAATCAATGAAGTATATTATAATTTATGAGCAAAAATGTGTTTTTTAATGAGAGGATTATGCAATATGCCCATACAGACAGCATAAAAAAAGACATATCTATATATATTAGATGTGAGGTTCTCATGGGAGTTGCTATGGCTTCCGGAGTTTCATACCAAGTGGTCTGGTAGACCACTTGGAGGATCCTGCTGCCTACTGCCTTCATCCTCAGGGTAGAAGAGTTGGCTAAGTGTGGAAAGAAATGATGCAGTCTGTGAAAAAATGGTATTGGTATAGGGGGAGGGGGAACTATGAATGACCTGGTGTTCCCTCTCCAAATACCCATATCATTTTTTTCATGCTTATCTTACTCTTCTGCCCTGGATACAGAGATACAAGGTTCCTCTGAAACATACAAAATGATATACCAGACTACATAGTAACATAACCCAGAAGTCAATATTCTTCAAAAACATTTACGTTTACAAAAGGGTAATTAAATGCTGACTTCTGCAATAGAAATGTTCATATGCTTTCACAGGTTGATATATAGAAATATTATTCAACTGTGCTTTTCATTACTTTTTAATTTTATATAAGAACTTACTTTTGATGACTGGAAAGCCACAAGATAGGTTTTCCCATTTAGCAGGAATATTTCAAGTGCCCTCTCTTGGAGCTGAAAACGGCGGTTGTGGATTTCCTTCACATTCTCAAATGGCCATGCAGTGGAAGAAACATCTAAACTTCCAGCTGTCATCTGTAACAGATGTTTATTCAAAGACACACTTCACTGTGTACGCATAGATTTCCTATTTATTGCTTATTAATTGCTAATAACAATGTTGGATTTGAGGGTTTCACAGTAGTGACCAGGAAGAGTACAACAACACATACAACCCCATATTTCAGACATTACATGAACTTTACACCAGACAGCAGCACAAACACCTCCAGAAAAGAAATAAAAGCAAGAACAATAATATCAAATGATCAACACAGGGGACACAGCCAATTAATGAGAACTACACAACGAACAGGGCACGTAGATACATAATAATATAACATACAGACACACAAAAATAGCAAATTCATAAAATTATGATACATCCTTGCATTAACAATATACGTATATTACACATTTAAGGATATGGATACCACAAAATGAAAACAACAACACAGAATGAAGGGAGTGTGTTCATTCCCAGACAAACACATTTTATTGTGAACGATGATATGCAATAGCATGGGATGCACTGACATTAGAATTAGAGCAGTTTCAATTGGTGAACAATTCCCTGAAGACAGCTGAAGCATGATGCAAATTGAATGTGAGTTTAACAGCATTTTAAAATAAAGGAAAGATTATGAACGGTTTTGGGTTGCATTAGAGACAGAAATGAGTGAACTAGAGTACAATCTTCTTGGTTGCAATGAGTGTAGTTTGGTACAAGTATGCTGAGCTTTCAGAGTAATCCAGAGCCTCCACCTTCAGGGTTGGCAAGTAGGCCAAGTAAGGAACCAGTAATGAGAAGGCCGCAAGCATAGCTATGCTCGCCACCTGTCATTGCTGGTTTCCTGCTTGGCTCACTCTTCAACACTGAAAATGGAGGCAAAATCCTAATGATAACATATCTTCCAGATGACGTATAAATTCAGTCATGTTTTTTAAACAAACAAATGATTTTAAAAGAGCCTGTTGGTGTGACATAAATTTATAGTTCATATCATGCATTTTATGTCATGTTTTATAATGTTCCCACAGCTGAAATACCAAAACCAGAACATCTGTGATGTAGTGGTGCCCTGTACTTGAACAGAACTGTCACAACAGATGCTACATGCACAGGTTACATGAGACTGGCTACAAACCTCGGCCAGATCCGTTTCCAGCATACTAACGTCAGCCACAAAATACAGACAGCTTTCCCCGATGAGCAGCTCTCCTGGAACTTCAGTAGCAGGTGTGATCACCTTTGCTGGGCACATATACTGAATCTTCTCGTTGGTGTGAAGACGCTCGATAAGAACAGAGGATGTGGATGACTTCTTATCTTGTTCAAACAGGTATGACAGTGGGTCTGGATTCTGTACTGCATCTGAAAGAAAGACATTTAACAACTGCAGGGGCAGAAAAACATAATTTCCTGGTCTCCATGGGCGATTAATTTCTCACTTACTGTTCTTTGACTTCTGGCAATTTCACAGCAAACAGCATCTAAAGAAGTTAAGACCAACATAATTAGGTCATAATAATTAATATCTCTTTTAAATTAAATATGTTTTCATTATCCTATACCTGCTTTGTATGTATTCTGGATAAACAATACGACACGACGAAGTCATATTAGGCACTGACTGGATGAGAAATCCACAGCAAAGTGATAGAAAACAGCGACACCTTATTCTGGTGGTCAAAATATTTATGTAGTTATAAGCTTTTCAAGAATATTTTGACCTCTACACACTGGTTTCAAAATGTTTGCCTTTCAAGAGATTTCTCCACTGTATGTAAAATCTATGAGTCTTCTGAGCTACACATCCAACTCACCATAGCCTCCTTTATTTGAACTCAAGAAAAGCAATACTAAGTTAAGTGTGGGGATCAGAAATGTTACCTCAAATTTTGGCAAACTGCACTTCCTAAACTAAAAATATCACAACACTGATATATATTATATAACCTAAACTAAAAATAGGATCATACTGATGAATATTATATAACCTAAACTAGAAATATCATCATACCGATTAAAATTACAAAATTATTCACTGTAATTTATAACATCAGGTACTTTTCCACATTTCACTAAATTGTACCATTTACCTCTTTTGACATCAGATCCTTTTTCCAATAAAAAATTGTAATACATTAGTAAAGTAAAGTAAAGTAAAGTAAAGGTATCCCTGTAACAGGCTGTGGAGGCCCATAGGGTTGTGAGATGTTGAGGTTCCCACATTTTCTAGACAATCGGTTCACAGATGGCTGTGAGGTTGTCAGACATGCGTCGGCCACCCTTTACCCCCAGGACCATTCCTGGTACTCATTTCTGTTGGTTGAGGGGCTATGCTACAAGCCAGAAGGTCATGGGTTCAAGTTCCGATGAGGTCATTGGATGTTTTTCAATTGACCTAATCCTTCCAGGCGCACTATGGCCCTGGGGTTGACTCAGCATCTAATAGAAATGAGTACCTGGAATTAATTAAATAATTTTCCTGGGGAGTAAAGCACGGCCAGCGCATAAGGCTGACAACCTTACTGCCATCTTTGAACCGAATGTCTAGAAAATGTGAAACCCTCAACGTCTCACAAACCTGTGGGCCTTCATGGCCTGTTACAGGGATAGCTTTACTTTTTTTTTTACTTACTTTACTCATTTCTGTTAGAGGCTGAGTTGACCCCAGGCCATAGTGTGGCTGGAAGGATTAGGTAAACAGAAAAATTCCACCTCATCGGGATTTGATCCCGTGACCTTCTGGCTTGCAGCACAGTGCCTCAACCAACTACGTTACTGCATGCCCCTTTAATACATTAGTGTATTCAAAAAAGTTAAATTCTAGATCCATGTCCATCATGGGCAGAAAGATGGGGAGACAGACACTTTTTTTTAAGAATTAATTAATGTTAGCTTTACTAACCACTGAAATTCTGATGGATCAGGTACTTTGTGTTACTGCAGAAAGCAAAATAAGTTACTTGGAAATTCTCAAAGTTCAAGAGCGAAAAACCAATATTCGCATTGAGATCAAAATATCTTCTTTGTTGGACTTGAAGATTTACACAGGGGTGACTACAAGGATTTCTAGCTTCTGTGATATAATGCCATGCAGTGAAGTGAAAATAAGCTGGCATTTTGGAGGAACACAATGCATTCTTCATGCCAGTTTTACGCTCAGCTTGCTCTTCAATCATGAAGACGGAGACTGTATGTTCCTCTGAAATTAATTTTTTTTAATTCTCTTAGTGGGGGGTGGAGTCCAACTGGGTCCACTCAGCAAGGCAGCCAATGATTGCCCTCTTGTAGCCTGCCTCAGGTGATTATGATGATGGAGAATTTGGTGGAATGAAGATTGGCAGGGGAAACCAAAGTACTAGGAGAAAACCCGTCCCAGCGCCACTTTGTCCACCACAAATCCCACTTGACCAGACCCGTGATCGAACCCGGGCTGCCGCAGTGGGAAGCCAGTGACTAATCGCTTGAGCTATGGCGCAGCCATGTTCCCCTGAAATGTCAGCTGCCTTTCACCAGACTACATGGCATTATATTCCAGGAGACAGCTTTGATAATCTACAGATCCTGCAGAGTAATGAGCATTATGACATGTGTCACAAGAATCAGAAGCTGGAATCCCACTCATGACTTCACATCACAGTGCTGAGTACATGAAGTACAACTTACCTAACTTGAGCTGAGCTCCTGACATTAGATATTGTCTACCGATATTCAGGTGACATCTCTGTAATCTGTTCCTGACTCTGGCAGGACCCTCTGTAGCATCCAACTGCCAGGATCTAAACAATGTATGAAAACATTAATGGTCCTTACATTTGAATTTATTCAGTATTAAAGAAAAGAGCAGTCTGCTTAATAACAGACAAATTATAAACTTACAACTTTGTTATGTGAGGTTTGTAAGAAGGGGGTTTCTCTCTATTCAGTTCAATACACAAACCACAGAACCTCAAAAATAACAAGATTTCAATGAAATGAGAACTGTCAAATGCAAATAGGATATTAGTGGGAAAGCCAGAAGGAAGGAGACCACCAAGAGGACCAAGATGTAGGTGGGATGACAATATTAAAATGGATCTTAGATAGAATGGGATGGTATAGATTGGACTGATCTGGCTCAGGACAGGAACCAGTGGAGGGCTCTTGTGAACACAGAAATGAACATTCAGGTTCCATAAAATGCTGGGAAGTTCTTGAGTATCTGCACAATTGGCAGCTTCTCAAGAAGGGCTCAGCTCCATGAGTGATGATGAGAATTGTTGAGAAACATATTACAGAATTTTCTGGACTATAAGAAGCAACCAGATTTTAGAGGGAAAATTTTAGTGGCAAAGAAACTTGCTTTACATTTGGATTTTAGGAACTATTTTCCAGGAAATAAGTGTGGTACAAGTTGTAAAGACACAGTGTCAATACAAACTTATAATTAAAACACAGATTATAAATAAGTATGCAAATAAGATGCAAATATTGTGTGTGTGTGTGTAACAGCAATTAATATGGTACAGCCATGTCACTGGGATGGAGGACTGCAGAATTGCTAGGCAGGTTGCAGAATGGAACCCACAAGGGGAAAGGAGGTGCAGCAGAGCAGTCAATATATGGAAGGACAGTATGCAAAGCAGACACCTCATGGGTTGAGGAAAACTGTGTATTCAAAGACAAATTCTTATATACACACATATAAAAAAAGTGTACTTCATATCCCAGAAATTATATGCTTACCTTGGGTATGAGTCTGGAAAGAACCAAACAGCTCGCTCATGTGATAACTGCTGGATGATCTTATGCCATTTGATGCAGATCTGTACATTCTCACTATAGGCTTGCTTGATATGTTCCATGAACACTTTACGCTCGCCATTCTGTGCATCCACCACCGTACGAGTGATGCTCATGGCAGCTTCAGCAACAGTCTTCATTAATCCTTCAAATTTGAATACACTCCTGAAAAAAAAGAAATATTCACAGGCATTATTTTGTGCTTCACAAGATTATAATGATGGACATGAAGTCCTCACCATTGTGACCATGAAGACTACTATCTTCTGGGATGTAATATCGTATATCACAGTTGAAGTCTGTCAACATTTCACAGAACATACTGCCTCCAAATTCTGGGTGAAAGAGTAAGTCAAGGAAGTTACATCCCAGAAGACAGAAGTCTTCATAATCAAGATTGCATAAGCCTCAAATCCAAAATACATCTGAAAGTTGCCTGCTTGCTTAGCTTAGCCTTTCACCCTTCAGACAGAGACAGTATATTCCCTTGAAATGTCAGGGAACCTCCACCAGACTACATGGCATTATTTTCCAGAAGGTACTAGTCCTCAAATTATCAGAAGTTTTCATGGCCATGAAGGTTAATGTCTTCTGGGATGAGACATGATTTAGTTTTGTAAATAGGTACAAAACATTATGTTTCTGGACATTATCCCAACATTTTGGAGACTGGATACTGTCTCTGTCTTTAGGTGAAATCTACTCACTTGAGCCCAATCGATAGGGCCAGTCCTTATTTCTGATATGTTGCATTTTGAAATAAACAGGACGATGGCTAATGTTCAAAAACATATTGTGACATGTTGACCCCTACCTCCCCAGCTGCACGTANATAATGTTCAAAAACATATATTTGTACTAATATACCACCGTGACAAACTTTTACATCTTACTTGTAGAAAGGTACCAATATTTCAGAGGAATCTACTGCCATCATCTTCAGGCTTGATGGAAACGGTGCCAACAGGTTAATCTAAAGGTCTTGTCCTATGTACCAAACTATATACAGTTAAACACAGCTCAGGGTCTGCTACTGGAGAATTGTTATATAGGTTCCATGTGACTGAAGAGCAGGCATAGACACATCAGTGCTGTGCAGTGTTCATATACTTAACAGTGGAATCTCATGACAGTCCTGTCTCAAGAAGGGTACTTATTGACCCAGTGGTCACAGACCTATTATGCAAAAAGTCTGACTGCTTAGCAGACATTAGCAGGCAGTGCAGAGAAAGGGCAGGTTTAACAGGCGTTCCTGTGCTGATGGTTATGAAAAATGAACTGTACACCATGGCAAAATTAGGGGAAAACTTATGAGACAAAAAGTAATCTATACATTTCCTGCTACAAAGAAGAGAGGTGGACAAGAAGGAAAATACATGAGCAGATTCACTTATTTAGGTGCCATGCTATTTTTGTTAAAAGCTGTTTCATGTTGAATGCAGGAGAAGCGACAGCTAGATAATCCTTGATTTTAAAGTGTTATGATTTATGTATAACCAATGTGTTGAGGAAATTCCTTAATGTTACTGACTTCAGAATATGTTGGAGGCTAAATATGGGAAGAAAGGAACCAACCTGTGTGCAGCTCCGTCATTCTGTTTCTCATGCTGCTGACGCTGCTTCTCCATGTCTGCTAGTAACATCTTCAATTCATCTTCCCAGAGGTCACCAGCAGTAATGTTCATCATTCCCCATGACTGCAACTGCAGACTGAAATCTTGGCATGTCCGCAGGTCAGTACATGACATCTGACCAGAAGATCTATAGATGAGGTCCCACAGAAACACTGCAAACTTCTGTTCAGTCTGAGAACATTACATTTATTAATTTGAAACTGGAAGAGGGATGCATGAAAAGAAGAAGCTGAAAGAAAAGAGGGAGGGGGGGGAAGAAAGAAAATACCTTACATAAGGAAGAAGAAGAGTTCCCTCTTACAGATCAATGTCCAATAACACCAATGCCTGAATACTAAAAATACGTGCACAATAGCTCAGCCATGATTTCTTCCCATGAAAACTAAAGTTTGTTAGAAAGGAAATGTCTGCGGCATGCTTTAACTTTTGATATAATCCTGGCAAGTATCTGGAGTGAATGAAGAAAAACATGAAAATTGCAGTCATAACGGCAGGTTTCTAGGCTGAACTTTGAACTTGGTATTCCCCAGATATGAAGCAGGAATACTAACTATTCGAAAGTGACGTTTGGTGAGGCACTGAGGCAGACTTCATTCTAATACTCCAGTTTCCCCTTGCTGCTCATCACCTCATTAATGTTCCACACTCACCTATCACGCAAAGACTGAAAGATGTGTGACAGGTCTAACCATTCTGCATTACATTAAACTCTCACAAGCAGACGTGGCTTCATATCTGATACAGAAGGTTTAGCTTTTTGGAAGAATACAAGTATGTTCTAGGTCACAAGTGACAGAAAATATGAATTCCTGCACAGTGGTTTCCAGCTTATCTTCACAGACATTAACAAAACAGCCATTTGCATTTCCTTAGAAGATTCTGGCAGATTTCTCTTCAATTACACCATCCAGTTTTCACTTCTCAGAGTTTTGAAACAATGATTATAGTTTCACAGAGCAAGGTCATCAGCCTTGAATGAATGAATGAATGTATAAGGGGTGGTGGGCCTTCTTGGCCCCTGCACTGCGATCACAGTGACCTATTGTGCCTCTCCTTGTGATTATCCCCTCAACAATTGTGCGATTCGAATGAAGCATAGTATTTTGTACGTGGGGGCATTGAAATAGTCACTTGGTTCCATAAAGTACTGACCCAAGTGACATAATCTTAAATAAGCTAAGGTCTCACATTCACACAGGATATGTGTGGCTGTTTCATTTTCTTCTTGACACCTCTCACAAGTTGGACTGTCACTTAGTCCCAGTTTGAAGAGGTGTCCTTTAAGGTGACAGTGTCCTGTAAGTAGTAATACCATTCATCGTAGCTGGTTCCTGTTTAACTTCAACAGTTCCTTCGCTCTTTTAGTAGAAGGTCCTCGTATCAGTCCTTTTGCTATGTTGTCAGCCTTGCATCCAACCTCCAACCTGGAGGACCAGGTCTCTGTATTTATGTCCCCCAGTGACAGGGTAGCCCAGTTATACCTCCAGACACCAGGTTCCTTTTTTATTGCCTTTGACAACTCACAGGGCTACAATGGAGCTATTCTAATCTGCTTCAACATGGGGCATTTCCATCTTACATTTGTCAAAATAAAAAGAGTTCACACAATGTTATATATAATTAAAAAGAACTACTTTCTTCTATTTTCTTGACATGAGAAATTGCTTATTTTTACAATCCCAGAATATGTACGAGTATAATCAATGCTTGTAAACTTACTTGAGCATGAGTATGTAAAATCATATTCAGTAGCTCCTTGCAGCGCGACTCGGAGCGGAGTGTGTGCACTGCAAAGGTTCTCATTTTAACAGGTTGACAGGGTGAGAGCAGCCACATTAGAAGATGTGCAGCTTGCACCCTGAGCAAGTCTCGTGCAGCCCACATAACAGCACTCCATGTGCTGCGTTGCCCTGCACTGCGCTTCTCAAGAACAGAGCTCAGTCCTTGCAGCATTGTGGCCAACAGTCGACGAGCATAACTTTGCTCTACCCCACAACCAGACATGCTACGTCCATTTCTTTGCTCTGTAATACATGGAAGTTATTTTAACATTATTTTTAACAGAGATTATTATTAAAATAATTAAATTCTAGAACAATATTTACATTAATTCAGGTATTGTACTTCGGAACTTGCTTCTTCTGCTTTCCATTCAGGGTAAACTGGAAATCTTCAGATAAACACAGAAACAAACTAACTGATTTTAGTAAAAATATGTAGGTATAAGTAGCCTTTCCTCCAGTGAAGTCAGTTGGCTATAGAATCATGTATTCAGCCATATGTATGGCACACAATATATTGCACATCTCTTCTTAATCCTTAACTACTGTATGAGATCACATTTAAACAGTACATAGTTTGTTGTCGTTGCTGTTGTTGTTGTATGTGTGCCATACAACAGGACTCCGTGCATAACACCCACTATTTCTCCATATGTGAGACATCAGGTAACATTAAAGATTACCAATGTGGAAAATTACCATTTAGGAGGTGCGGGGAAAACTATCAGAAATGATGATTTACTAAATCACTCCAATTACTTATCAAACACATTAATTATGAAAGCAGATTAAAATACTATCTGATCTGAGTCACATATGTAAGTTTAAGTAAAATTGTAGTGCCATCTATCTGACATATGCTAACCCTTTGAAGAGTCTATTTAAAAAACAAAGTGCGGTGCCATCAGATATTCACATTTCACATAAGATTTCACTACGTTCTGCAATATTAGATGGGGAACAGCCTTTTATAATTTTACTAGATTCTATTATGTTAGAAGGAGCACAGAGTTAAAATTAATTTTAAAAAAATTCTCCACATTACAGACAACAGTGGCAACAGCAAATATGTAATATAAGAAATGGTAAACAAAAAATGAATCAGAGACAACATATCAATTTTCAACTTTCAAGACACTCCCAGAAGCAATACAAAACTATTTAAATTTTCACATATGTACCCATGCTGAGGAGAATATTTGGACTGAAGAGAGGTGAAGTGACGGGAGGTTGGAGAAAACTGCGTACTGAGCAGCTTCAAAACTTGTGCTCTTCTCCAAGTATAATTAGAATGACCAAGTCAAGGAGAATGAGATTGGCAGAGCATCTAGCATGAAGGGGGAGAAAAGGAATACATATAGGATATTGGTGGGAAAACCAGAAGGAAAGAGACCAATGGGAAGATCAAGACATAGGTAGGTGAACAATATTAAAATTAATGGGACAGTATGGACCGGATTGATCTGGCTCAGGATAGGTACCAGTGGAGGGTTCTTGTGAACATGGGAATGAACCTTCTGCTTCCATAAAATTCAGGGAAATTCTTGAGTAGCTGCAAAATTGGCGGCTTCTCAAGAGGGGCTCAGCTCCATGAGTGAGTGACTCATGTTCACCTAATGCATTTATGAGTTCAGACAAACCAGAATGTATCTCTGAAGGTGGACTGTAATAACATCAGCAATGTGCGGTTTCTCTGTACATTTCACATATAAATATAAACTTCAGTATGCCAAATTTTATAATTTTTTTGCCTGTAAGTGCCTTCTTGTTTCTCTGATGTTTCCACTGTGATGTCTTCAAAGTGTACAAAGCAAAAATTCAACACGTACAACATGAACAATTATTCATCATTATCTTTTCATCATGCAGGTAAAAGTACAGAGGTCTCTTAAACATAAATTTACATACCTACATTAATGAGGAAATCAACAGACTTTATAATCACTGTTTTGAAGCGATCATTGATTTCTCCTCTTGGTATTTCTTTTACTGTGCTGGCAAGCTGATCGCCACCACCAGTCTTTCCATTACCAAGTGAACTCTGGCAGTTGAAGCTGATAGGATTTGATCCAGAATTGGTTAAACCCTGCATTTCCAAACTTCCATCTAATGTCTGCTCAGCATCATAGCCAGTTGAAAGGACTGCAAACACAAAATATTATTACAATTACTGTGTTTTGGACATTATCCATTGTCCTGTTTTTTATTTTAAACACCATGTTTCAGAGACTGGATTCTGTCTCCGTCTTCATGTAAAAGCCTACTCAGCTGGGCCCAGGTGATAGTCCCTATCTCTGGACACCAGCACAAATAAAACCTGACCCAAGGTTGGCTCAAAAAATCAAAATTACCCCAACATGCATATGAAGGCCATAAAATATTGTGACATGGATGGTGCAACAGGAAGTAGGGGTCACATGAACTCTGCACTTCCACAAGTGACGTCACCTACCCCCACTCCTCCCATTATTACCCAACGCTCGGTAAACACCCCTCCTCGCGAGGTTGTGATGTCACGCAAAAGGCGAGTCCATGCAGCGACTACTGCTAGGAAATTTGTAGGTAGAAAGACCTGACAACAATACCTGATATCTGTTGCCAAGCAGCAAGGTGTTCTCTATGTTGTCCATGCCGAGCCTAAATAAGGAGCAGCGAACAGTAGTAGTGAGTACTGAGCTAGTATCCAGTATGAATTGAAGTCCAGCAGCTACGAGCTGAGTTGTATCGAGTGCATGGCAGTGACTCCAGCAGAAGTAATTGTGATACTGCAAATGGCAGTAATTGCGAAACTGTGAATTGTGTAAATGTAAGAGCGAGTGTTCAATAAATTTGCTACATCCAAGATGGCGAGAAGTTATTTGTCACGTTACATACCCAACACGTGACAATATGTTGGAAAGAAATGAAGGTCTTGCAGATTCAACCAAACACCACCTACAAGAAATACGAGGAATCTGCTCACATGTCTCCAGTACATCATCTGATCAGTCATCCCAGCTTGGACATCTCATCTGGACTACCATTATTGCAGCAGAAGTCACAAAAATACAACGCCATTCAGTGTAGACTATGAGTGAATGCTGAGTTTTTATGTTGGTACTATACAGGGAATCTGTCTCTTTAGGGATGGCTTCTATTCTGATAGTACTCCGATTTTAACAACAACAGCTGTGAAACAAGCATGGATATAGGTGCTAGGTTTATGATGGTTCATGATGTGCTTCGTTTATACATCCTATCTTGTGTTAGTGCTAAAGTCCAGGGATAGGGACTAGCTCTACTGAGTGGGCCAAACTAAGTAGGCTTTTACCTGAACAGGAGGATGGATACTGTCCACAAACACAATAAATGTATTAATATACCACTGTCACAAACTTTGAGAACTTATTTACAAAATATTATGTGTATACTGAAATAATGTTCATCTGATATTCCCATGTTGAAAAGGAGATTTGGCAACCTATTACAAATGTAATAACTGTATATAAAAGTAGTACTGTGCTTCTTTCTAATGCCTTTTGTTTCTGGTTTCTTGGTCCTTCTATCTACTGCCTGCTGACAAGGAAAAGTCATCAACTTCAGTGATGGGGTGCTCATAGGAAAGAAATCACTGACAGATTGAGGAGAGTGATGCTCATGACTAAGAAAGCTGGCTCAAGTGGTAACACTCATGACTTTTATTTAGGAAGTGAATGCCAAGTTTGAATGTTGGGTGGCACACAGACTGTCCTGAATGAAGTTTTTCATGCTTTTCCTCTGTGCCTCCATCAAAATGACATAACAGCACTTGTATTCTGGTCATGACTCATCCTTCTACATCCTTCCCAATTCACTATTCACCAACCTCTATTCATTCAGAGCCCTATGGTCCAAGTTCCTGATTGATGACAACTGGCAGAAGGGAACCATGGCTTGATGTTGACTATGCACTGTGGGGGCCTGTATTTCCCTTCATAAAATTTTGACCTCAGATGTTTACATTAATGAGATTAACGACTCCATGAGTTATAAAGTGCTGACAGAACCTCACCGCAGACCTTACCTGCTGTGAGGAAGGAAGATGTGTTTATGAGCTTCGTGCCAGTCGGCTGCTGTAACGCTGATATCATATCTTGAATAACATCAAGTTCTCCTTCCAACAGAACACACTGAGCCTCTCTGAGTGCGCTCACACAATGAGCCTGTGCACCGCACGTGCTTCGCTCAACCTTCTCCATATAACTGAGCTGCAGCTGAACATCATTAAGCACCTGCCAAGACAAAAAACTGGTAACAACAGAAATGTACATAAAAACACTGTGACTGAAAATGTACCACAGTAGATGCCAGAGTAACTGGTCTTGAAGATGGGTTTGAAAAAGAACCACGAACAGGTCATGCTTCTGAACACCACTGAAATATGGCCCCTCAAAAAGGAATAACAAAAACAAAATCTGAGAAATGGATATGAAATTTCTGATAAACACTGAGGCAAAAAGAAAAAAGAATAGAATTAGAAATAAAATTCTAAGGGAAGAAGTTGGAATTTAAAACTTTTCAATAGAGTTACAAGAGTGAGCATCATAATGGTTTGGCCACATAAAAAGAATGGACAAAACATAACAAAACAAAACATGACAAGGATATTAAGTGGAAAATTAAAATTAACATTTAAAGGAAAGAGCTCTATGGAATGACCCAGAACAAGATGTTTCAGTCAGGTAATGTAACACATCAAGAAAGGGGAAAGTGTGGGCATAAAATTTAAAATGCAACAATTATGGCNTTTATGTGTATGAAGAAAGCAGTCTTCTGGGATTTGGCACCGTGTATATGTGGTGTTAACCGACGTTTCGGAGGAACGTATCGCCTCCATCTTCTACCCTGAAGATGGAGGCGATACGTTCCTCCGAAAC